TATCCAAAGGTCCTGAGAGAACTGGCCAATGAAGTGGCTAAGCCACGATCCATCCTATTTGAGAAATTGTGTCAGACTAGTTAAGTTCCTGCTGACTGGAAAAGGGGAAGGATAACCCCCATTTTAAAAAAGGGAAGGAAAATCCGGGGGACTACAGACCAGTCGGTGTCACCTCTGTGCCCAGCAAGACCATGGAGCAGATTTTCCAGGAAACTATGCTAATGCACATGGAAAATAAGGAGGTGATTGGTGACAGCCAACATGGCTTCACTAGGGGCAAATATTGCCTGTCCTGGTTTCAGCCAGGATACAGTTAACTTTCCTCAGTCTGAGAGGGAGCACAGCTAGAGGGCCAGGCCTGGATGGATCATCGACATATTCCATATCATCTGATGTCATGCTCAGTATATAAGGGGACATGTGCTCCCTCATTTCCATCTTCCAGTCAGCGGTGGCATTTCTGGTGCAGTTGGGATTGCTGCTGGGGATGGGCTGTGTACCAGTCAGCAGTCGATGAGCAACTGCATTGGATATCACCCGTTTGGACTTACTACTGTTTTGTTACTATTTTTTTATTAAACAGATTTTTTTTTTTTTTTTTTTTGGTCGCTCCCCTATTTCATTGGCAAGGGGGGGTGGGTGGAAGGGAAGTAAACAACTGGTCATGTGGTGACTGGCTACTGGTCAAGTTCAAACCATGACACTACCTGACAAACTCAGTGGCCTTCCATGATGGGGTTACAGCATTGGTGGATAAGGGAAGATCAACTGACATCAAACTTATTTGAACTTGTGCACTGCACTCCACGCTGTCCCACACAACACAATTGTCTCTAAAATGGAGAGACATGTATCTGATGGAGGGATCACTCAGTGGATAAGAAATTGGTGGGATGGTCACGCTCAAAAGAGTTGCAGTCAACACTTGACATCCAAGTGGAGTGGTGTCCCTCAGGGGTCTGTACCAGGACCAGAATTATTTAACATCTTTGTTGGAGTCATGTACAGTGGTACTGATTGCACCCTCAGCAAGTTCATGTGTGACACCAAGCTGTGTGGTATCAATGATAATCCAGAGAGACAGGATGCCTCAAGAGGAACCTAGACAGGCTTGAGAGGTAGGCCCACAAAAACCTCACGAAGTTCAACAAGGCCAAGTGTAAGGTCCTGCACATGGGCCAAGGAAATCCCAAACATGGATACAGACTGGGCAATAAATGGATTGAGAGCAGGTCAGCAGAGGACTTGGATGACAAACTGACTTTGAGCCAGCAGTGTGCACTCACAGTCCAGAACACCGATAGCAGCCTGGGCTGCATCCAGAGAAGTGTGGACAGTAGGTCAAAGGACATGATTCTCCCCCTCTACTGCGCTCCTGTGAGACCCTATGGGGAGTAATGTGTCCAGCTCTGAGGCCCTCAACATAAGGAGGACATGGACTTTCTCAAGCAGGTGCAGGGGAGGGCTAAGAATATGATCAGGGGGCTGGAGCACCTGCCGTATGAGGACAGGCTGAGAAAGGTGGGGTTGTTCAGCCTGGAGAAGAGAAGGCTCCAGGGAGACACTTAACAGCAGGCTTCCAGTACTTGAAGGGAGCCTAAAGCAAGATGGGTAGGGGACACTTTATGAGGGAATTTTAAACTGAAAGAGGGTAAGTTTAAGTTAGCTATAAGGAAGAAATTCTTTACTCTGATAGTGGTGAGTCCAGAGAGGCTGTGGATACCCCCCTCGCTGGAAGTGCTTTGAGCAATGTGACCAAGTGGAAGATGACCTCTAAGGTCCTTTCCAACCCAAGCCATCCTGATTGAAACTCTTTTCACAGGAAAAGTAAACAGCTTATAGAACCTGTAAGGAGTTGTTCTTGTAGAAATAAAGAATTGCATTTTGTAACTCTTCTATATCAACAACAACAAAAAAAGCAAGTAAAAGGGTTGGTTTTCCTCAGTCAAGCACAGAATAAGGAAACAGGGGTTTTCTGCATTGTATAACAAGGAAGGTGTCTGCAGAGTTACGACTGTTATCAGACATCTCACCTGGTAAACTTAACCAAAAATCCTAAGACCTATAGAAGAACTAAGGGAACTTCCCCTTTGACTTGAAGGGAGGTTCTTCTCGCACTATGGTAATTGCTTTCATTAGGGTTATTTAAGAAAAGTCTGTTACTTTTGTGTCTAATAGCTGAAACAAATTATCTTTTCAAAATCTGAGAATTTGAAAGGAGGAACACATTAAAAAGGCTCTGTTGTTGGTTTCTTAAAGCAAAAAAAAAAAAAAAAGCATTTTAACCTTGGAATGAAAGTGTTTCATGGAAATATTAACTCAGTTTTCATCACATAGTTAAGTTAGATGCTTCCAATATACCAGTGCATGTACAGAGAAGAAATCTTTAACAGAAACAGCTTATTTTTCACATATGATTCCTCATTCTTATGGAATGGTTGTTTCACCTAACATGAAAAAAAAATTATTCCTTGCAGTTAAAAGTTTTTACTTGACAATGTCTAGAATATTGTCTTTGAACAAAAAGAAAATTAATTATTCTAGAAAATCATACTTTGCAATGCCTTTTCAAGAACTATATCCATTTTAACCAAACAGTTTTATATTTTAAGCAGGAACCACAGAATCTGCAGAGCAATCTGTTATGATTTCATTTATCAGAAATCACAACAAACATTTGGACACAATGGTTTGGATTTTTTTACATTCTATTTTGTGTTAAACACTTCTATCAGTAATCTTTTAAGTATGACCTAGTATACATTTTTTCAGACACCTCATTAGAAAGAACTTTAATCTGCTCAGACAAGGAGCCAGGGAAGATCTGTGAATAAGGTCTCTACATTCACATTAAAAAGAAAAAAAATAAAAGGAGAATAGTTCTTTTAGACAGTTGTTTAGAAACAGGAATAAGTCAGAGCTGAGGCCAACAACTGATAACAAGGGAATGGAAAAGCTCCTAGCTTAGCTCTTGACATTGCTGGCTAAGTCTGGAATCAAAAGGATTTCCAAATCTTGCCCCAAGATTTAAAGTAATTCTCTTTTATAAAACACTGTGTTTATGAGATTAAATGAAGGCCAACATATTGCATCATTCCAGAGAGAAACAAAGCACCAGGTGGTTAAAATACTTTTAACATATGCTGCAGGGGGAGCTACTCTAACAACATAAAGCCCTAACAAAGAAAAATTTTTACACTATTAAATCCATCATTCTGGTGTTTTTCTCCCCGTGCAAGCAGTATAGAAGTCTTAATTTTCACTTTCTCTTAAATCTACATACATCCCATACACGCCTTAGATAAGCTTTAAAGGCTGCATTACTATTTTATCACCTGGGTTAGTTGGTAACCATGGATCAACCACTCTCCACAGCACTAGTTTGTAGTAAGAGATGTGGAAGATTACAGCACTTCTTTGGACTAGTATGAATTCTGCTGGTTAGTATGCCTAGAATTTTCATGTTTCTCCAAGTCCTACTGATGCCTACTTCAGCAAATATAAAGTTTTGATATAGGAAAATAAGCCAGCAAGGAACTAAACATCTGACACTTTTCACCAGTACCCTATTGTTTTGGATTCCTTATAATTTAAGTCTTGGAATGACATAACTGAAAACCTCAGGAGCAGTCTCAGGGCAACTGCCACCAATTCTTTGTTCTGCTGCAGTCCACAAGTTACATTGTACAGTATGTCACACTACTCAGTAATATTCATGTCTGAGGAACATACTATCTTGTACTGCTAATAAAAGAATATATTAATATTTGTAAAGAAATTAGATACTAATATGTCAGCCATAATCATAACTGAGCAGCCAGCAAGCTATTGTAAGATTATTAGTTTTTAAGCAATTGCTTCTCAAAGTTTAATTCACCTTGATTTAAAAGTTACTGGGAAAAAAAAAAATCTGTAACTGTTTTAAGAGGGTTTGAGTAGACCCCTCATATCATTCCCATGCACCAACATTAAGAACTGTGTGTCTACCCCATGGACACAGAAGAGTTCTTCTGCATCCATTAGTACACATATACACATCCAAATATTTTTGTCCTGTAATGATTAACCCATGTCCCTTAAAAGTTTTGCATATACTAGTGTATTATTTATAGAAATATATTTTAGAGACAAGACTTCTCTCCTTTAAAATATTAAGTGTAGCAGAACCCACTGCAACCAGTGCAAACACCAGAAACATTTCTAATTTTTAAATTTCTGAAATAACTTCACAACTATCATAATAGCCAAGTATTGAAATGTATTTTTCAATTAAGTGTGTCAAGTTTCTACTACTTTTTAGACTTGAGTCCATCAGCCAAAAGTATTTTAACTATATCTGCATTAGAAACCAATCCCACCCTTGATGTATGTAAAAGAAATATATCTTAAAAAGAGAAAGAGCATGCACACATGCAAGAGAGTGCAGGAGACCTAATTAATAGAATGGAATTTAAACACAAATTGAAAGAATCATTTGCTCAGCTTTTACAGATGCAACTTCTTAGAAATTTAGAACTTCAAATGTTGAAGTTCAATAGTTCATATACGTATTCAGGACACAGGCTTAAAAATGGTGGTAGCATTTATAAAAAAAAGACAGCAGCAAATTAATAGCACTTCTGACATCAGGAAAAAAGTTTATTATGGAATAAACTGGTAAGAAATATTGTTCCCTTATGCAATTTTTTTCCAATTAAATCAAATTCTACTGCTGCTGGCATCACAGAACATCTTCACATTTGATGCAGATAGAAGAAACCAATTAAAGTCACTCAGTGGCACTCTGACAAATACAAATAGTTCAGATTACATAAACCAAATTCTAAACATAACTTTAATAAGCTGCAACGGCAGCTGCAAGAACGGGAACAGAGTGCCACATTAATTGTCTACAGACAACATTATATAACCTTTAGACAAAGTTACCAGCAACATTCTGCTAAGAAAAAAGGCTGTGCACTCTTAACTTACAATAGTAGCTTAAATTTTCAAAGTGTAAGTTAAAAGAGTTTAGAAAGTCTTGCAACCTCTTTCCAAGGTGAAATATATAATACAGATAGTATTTTACATATAATATCTTGTACATCATTGCTTTCACATTGTAATTAAACAGACAAAATTTACATTTATTGTGGTGACAAATTTTGTTTCAGACCCTAGTTTGAAGCTCCTGTAGCACTGTGAACAGAAGATGCTGAATCACTGTTTGACTGAAAGGGAACAGTAGCAGCAGCTGCTTCAGGAAGCACAGGTGCAAGCACATGACGACAAACTGGGCATGTTCCTGACTACAAAAAAAAGAGAAAAACACCAGGTCATTTGCACAGTTTCATTCAATCCTGTTGAAAAACTAAAGGTTATTATTTATGAAGTATTTAATGTCCTCACACCACCACTGTCTCAAAGTCAAATTTGACTACATAGCTACCCAGAGCTAAGAGAAACTAATGATCTCAGAAGAAAGCTCTTTTGCTTTTACACCAGCTACACAGCAGATATATCAGGCTCTCTACAAGGTCTTCTTCAAAGCACCTGCTTTGCAGGTGGGAATTTTCTTTGAATCAAGCATAAACTAGGTACAGCCCAAATCTAACAGGATGGATTTTGTTCTAGTTTTCAGCAAGAGCAGTTTACTATTACAGCAGAGAAAAGGCAACAAACACATAATACAAACAATATCAACATGGTAATCAACACTATTAATATTTTAAAAAGGTATAAAGCCACCAATAACCCATCCTAGAGGTGTTCTGACCTGATCTCCCTAGTCAGAAGCAATTAATCTTCCTCTTGAACCTTTTGAGAAACAATGTATTAAACTGTAGGCTCACTGAGAACTAGCAAGTCCAGGCTCATACTGTGTGTAAGGGAGTGCAAGTGCAAAGAAAAAAATAAACCAATTCATTAATTACAGTTCTTTTAGCCCAGCATCAATATGATATAAGCCTTAAGACATTTAGAAGGAAACTGATTACAGATTATGAAAATGAATTTTAATACAATGTAGATTTATCAGTGGTAAAATTTTTAAATTAATCTACCAGCATTCCAGTATTTCTCCTGCTACCCTCAGCCATCAACATAAATGGCCCTGACATTCTAGCAAGACAGATCAGATCCTTTGCTATTCTCAGAAAAAAAGCCATCTTCTTTAGTTCAAGGTATGAGTACAGTAAAGAAAGTTTTTCTTGTACCAAAACAAGTTGTAACTCATCCATCTCTTTCATTCTTACTAAAAGCAGACCACGGTTTTCCCCACAAAAATACCCCCTCTATTCAAGAAATGACCCTTCAGGTGAGTACAGATATAAATTACTTCCCTCAGTAGGATCTGATTCCATAATGCATAAAATCAGCAGCCAGTTATTTCATAGAATCATAGACTGGTTTGTGCTGGAAGGGACCTTAAAGATCATTTAGCTCCAACCCCCCTGCATTTCATCCCACATTTTCAAGAAGTAAGAAACTGTTCTTCCCAGAGGAAGGCAAATACTCAATAAACCACACAAAATCCCCACCAGTCCTGGGTACTTACTTCCTGTAACCAAAGAGTAACACAAGGTTTGTGAAACAAATGATGACAAGGTAGCTCTGTCATGATTTCACCTCTCACATATTCGCTGCAACAGACAGTACAACGCTGCTCTTCACCTACACCCATGATGATGAAAAAGCATTATTATTATTCTTGTTTTACACCCAAGACAAGCTCAAATTAAAATACATATATTACCAGCACTATCATTCACGATTACAAAATACAAATCACACTCCAGTAAAGATGAGTTTTCCAAACTGATCAAAGTTATATTCAGTCTGATTCGTGATTCAAAATATTCTTAGAACATCATCATCAGCTGCACAGTAAGTATATTCAAATACTGCATCTATGGTATTACAGTAAGCTAAATTTATTCTTATAAACTTTGTGGAAATTAATTCTTAATTACTTCTCCATACCATCGTGGTCATCTGTGACAACAATCTGTGGCAAACATTCTATGGTTTCTTTAGTAGCTGGTGGAGGAGCCTGTTCAATTCCAAGTAACTCCAAATGTGCCAGAGCATTCTGAAAAGGATGACCAGAGACCAAGTTCTCTTAGTCACAAATACAAAATTCCATGTATTCCAAAATTACAAAATTACATCATTTTAATTTTCATAATAAATGAGATTAAATTGAAGGTCAAAAGAGTAACAGCTAAATTTTCAAGTTTTCTTAAAGTATGCAGACAGTCACCATTTATTCTCTAATGAACATTTCTGAGACTTTATAAAATGAACAAAAGGTAGCAAATCAAAAATGTAATAAAGATTGCTCATACAAAACTTATTACATTTTGCTTTCTGAAAATAAAAGCATCATTAATGTGCTTCCTGGCTTCAACTATTGAATTAGTCAGATACAAACAAAAAATATTAAGTACCTCAGCTACACTACCAATGTAAGCTTACAGAAAAACGGGATCCACATATATGTTTCTCATCTGTATAATGACATAAGAGAGACACAGTGCTCTGAAGTCATCTTGTTTAGAACAAATTTTTCACCATCTTTAAGATCCAGACACTACAGCAGGCAGATTTGATAATTTACATAATATATTCAACCCTGTAAGACACTAAAAGGATCTCCAGTAGAAAAAATGCAACACAGAACTCAAGATTGGTTATACTGAGTAAGAAATATACCTGTATGAACAGCAGAACAAACTGAAACTGAAAAGCCAAGACCACAGAAGCACTGTGTTCATACCCTGAATGAACTAGTCACACTCCTCAACTCCTCAACCACTATTTACTACTCTAATCATCTAATGGCCACAAAACTCACTCGGTGAGAAGTTTTAAGATAATCTGACATTTTCATAATGTTGGGAGTAGGCTTAACTAAAAACCAAAAGATATACTAGAGAAACATTGGATTATATACAAACATACATCTTCAGTGGTCTTTCCCCTTAAACTAGAGAAAGCTACTAGAGCTGCAGCTTAAAAACACTCCTGCACTTTTATCACAGTGACAAGGTAGCTCAGGCAACCATCCCATCATAGATCCAAATCTGCAGGTTTACACCTACAGTCAAATGTTTGTGGCAGCTGAGAGATCAGCATGAGCTAATGGACAAGTATTTAAAGCTCTTACTGTCACATGTATTCTGTTATAAGTCTATGAATTTAAATTAAATAGTTAGACAGTTCTCTCTAGTGCAGTGTGCAAGTCCACCTGCAAAACAGGTATACTCCTCCAATTTAACAGCTTAAAAATATTCAGCGCTGCCACTGCAGACAATACTGCCTTAGTAACATTAAGGTTATTTTAGTATTTGTAATGGCATTTTGTTATAGTCTGAGAATAACTTGTAAGTAAAAATACTATACTTAACTATTACAGAAGTAAAAATTAGGTAAGATCCCAAGAACACAGAAGGATGAAATATTACCATGCATCAAACCTCTCCGTCTGCATGTATTCTCAAAAAAGCATTTTACTGTTTGTTTTTGAAAGCTATACAAAAGAAACATCACAGACAGAAAGCCTTACAATGACTCTGATGCTTAAAACCACATCTTCAAAGCACAGCAGTGTCCATTTTACAATTTTTATAAGATATCTTTATAATTTCAAAAATATCTTTATTTCCTTCCTCTTATTACTTGTGCAACTGCTTACTGCTCCATGTACCATAAACCAAGTGCTGGACACTGCTAAAAACAGTAGTGCTATAGCCTCCAGGGATTTTTAGCTCCTCACATGTGTGAATCAGCACAGGAAATAAATCAAGTCACTGACACTGCAGTGACACCCAACCTGTTCTATACTGCTAATGAAGTAAACCAAACACTCCCAATGAAGTAACTTCTTTAAAACAAGGGGAAGTAAAAATAGAAACAAATGTACATGCAGGCTATTACATTTTAGGATCCCAGAGTCTTATACAACATAGCTCTTTAAAAAAAAAATAATTAATATATTCACTACTTGTCTCCAAGTGTCACAACAATCTCCCCCTCCCACCCCCAATTAAGGTATACTTGAATTCTGGATGCATTATCATGTCACATCCCTTTCAAGCATTTCATGGCTATAGTAAATTCATTTGCTGGATAGAGAAATTTTCAGAAAATTTTCTGAGCTATAGTAGATTCTTAATCAATTACGTTGTGAAAAAGGTAAAAAGGGTTTGGTTAATGAATCTACTAATTTAATTAAGAGAATTATGGGAAACTTAAGGAAACTGATTAAATAAATCAGTATGGGGTTGAATGAGGTCACAGTCATTAGATAGGGTATTAATGATGTTATAAACTCAAGCCAATCTGTTAATCAAATCATAATAGTACTTAAACCTTGTCAAAGCTCAGACTTCTCCATTACAAAACCTCTGGTGTAAGAATACTTACTACTGGAAAGCAGATGGGTTACTTTTTAAACTTGAAGCAAAAGCAGAGATACATTGCACCCATAAGGTAGAATCAGACTAAGAGAGATTTAAATCACAGCTGTTTGCTCTAAAGCCAGACCTAAATGGTACTGAAATAGTATTACTGGCAACAAGTAACCTATTAGAAAGTCCATTATAAATATATAGATAGTATGTAACTGCAAAGTGGCAAACCATTTTGGGGTATAATTTTCCAAACAGGGAAAGAAAACACACATGCAAACAGTAAAAGCTGCAATGTGAAAACAAAAGTTGTAGAACAGGCAGGAAAGGTCATCTGGTGAAACTCAAATCTAATCATCCTGCAGAAAAATGCCTAGTAAAACCAGGACAAGTCCTGATTCCCAAAATAAGAATAACTATGTCAAGAACATATTAAATCATTCCCTTTACTCTTGGGGAGAGGGATGAGGAGCATAAATACCAGTCATGAGGAAGAAAGACAACTAGCTTCAATTCTCACTTCCCTGAAATAGTTCTCAAGCCTGATCACCTTGACCTTAGTTACTAAAATACCCCCTTCACAGTGATCTCTAACTCCTCACTTGATACATATATATACATATATATATATACATACATTATATATATATATATATATATATATGCAACAAACTTCAGAATAAAAATTATCATATCACATTTTCTATATACCCTATAAATGGAAAAATCAAATTTTCTAGCGGAAAGCAAAGACTTTTTCAACAATCTCTCGTACACAAACTTGAAAAGTTAGTTCAGGTTGGGTTTTGCTTCACAAAAGAAACGAATTTAAAATAATTTTTTTTCCCCTGAAAATGCTTTACACCACACTTTGGATATCTGAGCAAGCACTGTGACCACAGTACCAAAAATAAGGAAAAGGCTTTGTAACACTGAGATATTTACTATTTTAATGGAACATTTTACATTTTTAAATTTGCAGAACACACTTCTACATCTTAATCTACAACCGTCTGACAACCAGGAAAGTTGTGTTCCAGGAACACAAGTTCCTAGTCTATATAAATCCAGTCAGGGACAGGTCATATCATATTTTATTAAGAGACTATACTGGACTAGCTATTTATAAGTCCTTTTTTCTCTGTTTTCTAGAAAGCAGAAAACATATCTTGATCCTATCTACATCTTGCTGTGGTCACTGAAATACAGGATCTCAGCAAACAATTACAATTAATTCTGGATAGACATTACAGATCCTTTTTTTCTGCTCACTTTCTCTCAATTTACAGAAATATTTTCAATGTTACCCAAGAGAAATGTTCAACAGTTTTGAGTAATCCTTGCTCTTATTTTCTGAACCATTTTAGTAATCATCTTCATATGGGAAAGAGAGGTGCTCCATATATTCTGCTTGAGACTTGGTGAAGTATTCAGGATTCTTACTCAAAATACATGTTGTCCATTTAGTCACAGATTATACTGCTGTTCCTTCTATTACTCAGCTACCATTTCCTGCTGACTAATTCCAATTATGCCAAACTTCTATGCCCATCACAAAGTTTTAGACCCTTAAGCGCTAATTTCAAGCACAAAAAGTATTTAAGGGAATTGGCTTTCCCTCTTGTCCATCATCCACAGTGACCTGTACCACAGCTACCAGAAAGTAACTGCCTTTGTAGTCATCTACCTGCTTGCCAAGTGTGTTCTGTAACACACTGTTCCTGGTGACACTACCATAATTACAGCACCTTCTCAGCCAGACATGCACATAGCCACCTAGGATTGCTTTTACAGGTCAGTCTGACAAGTTTCTTCTGACTGTGTAACATTATTCAAGTTACTCTAAGAAAAACTCAAGAGCCATAACAGTCTCAGTCTCCTCTTCAAGTGTTATCATATAGATTAAAATAAAGAAATTATGTGATTAGTTTCCCCTCTCTACACAGATCCTTTTGCTTCGGTGCAAAGGAGAAGGTCCACTGCTTGTGTAGTTCTGTTCTTTTTGATGTCTTGAAAACCAGCAGCTATGAAAGACAAGGAATTTTCTTTATCCAACTTCAAAATACTGCTTTTGTAGCATGGATATCAACACACTTCCTGCACATTAATAAGCAGTACTGACATGTCTACAGACAAGTAACACTAAAAAGATCCTACACAGCTGGAGAAGACCCTATGGTACTTGATTATTTATAATGCTGACCTCTCATATCCCTTGGGAGATGAGCAATACCTTGAAAATAAATGACTGCCAACTTCAGGGAAGAACCCTTCCACACCCTTGGAAAATCCTCATTAAGTTTATTTACAAAATCATTGACTTTACACTTATCCATGGGGAAAAAAAATAAAAATCTATGATTGTTCCACTGACTGTCAGCTTTAGAAAGCATTTTAGAGTGTCCTTGGTATTTTATCCTCAAGCACACTAGGACATACAGTTTGCCCAGTTCACCCCTTCTAATTAGGAGCATGCAGTCAAACTGCCCCTTGCTGAACCTAAACTCATGACATACAACAATTAAATTTAATGTTGTGTGTAACACCTACACATCATTTAACTCTTATTTTGACAAATATCCTGCAAGGGAGGTTTCTGGCAGTGCAAAAATTGTCACATTGCATCAAACTGTATTTCAGCTAGCTCCATACTTACTCTGATGGTGACCAACATCAGATAACACAGAAAAGACAGACCATAACCATGACTGGTTTTGGTAACAAATGCTCTGGTTTATCTGAAGTCAGACAGACGAAATCAGATTACAAGGTAAAGGTAAAAGGGTTTTTTTGCTTTTCAGTCATTTGTTTCTTGTTTTGTTTTTTTTTTTTTAATTTAAAACATGGAGTCAAGACAGTCAAACACAGAAAAGTCTTCTACTGAGGAATAAAAGTATGAGAAATCCAATTGTACTCCTGAAAAAAAACTTGGACAATTCACAGGCACAGATTCTGTTACGTAGGGAATTTGGCAATATTCTTTAGAATAATTTGAATGTCATATGTCTATACTGGTAGAAAACAGTATTTTTCCTTTAAGAGGAAATAAATATATATTCTAAAAGGAGCAGCACCAATGACTTCTTACACTACATAATTTGAAAGAACTTCCAACTTTTTGTTTGCAGACCTGAAAGTTCAAGCTAAAAGAGGAAAGTTATTTTTTTCCCTGATTTTCAGATCATGCTGAAAAAGGATTCAGTAATAAAAACTTGTGTCACAGTATCACTAATATAATACAATCAAGAATATTTTAATACCTCCATAGCTTGGTGTAAGCGTTCCTCTACTGCCACAGATGAGAGATACTGAGGATTCACATAAGGAAAGGCTTGAGCAAGTCTTAGGCCATCAGCTTCATCAAGTACTCTGAAAAAAAAAAATAGTTAGGAAACACAGTCTTTATTTCAGACTAAGTAGTAATAACATGAGGGCTGGATACGTCAATTTACTGCACATCACCTGTTAACCACTGTGTGCATATACTCTCATGAGGTGGTTGTGTTGGGTTGACCATGGCTGGCTGCCAGATACCCATTCAGCTGCTCTCTCACTCCACCTCAACTGGATGGGCATGTAAATAAGACTAAAGGCTCATGGGTTAAAGACAGGGGGATCACTTGCCATTCACCATCACAGGCAAAACAGACTCAACTTCAGGCAGAACCTTAGCTTAATTGAAAGGTTGAACCAGACAATCTTTTGAGGTTCCTTCCAGCCTAGGCTGTTCTATTGATTCTATGACTTTATTACCAACAAAAATGAACTTGGATGATGAGAAACAGACAAAAATGAAAACATCTTCCCTTCAGCCCTCCCTTTCTTACTAGGTACAGCTTCATTCCTGCATTCCTGACTCCTCCATGTCCCTCCATCCCAAGCAGGGCAGAGGGACAGGGCATGGGGGTTGTGGTCAGTCTGTGGAAGTTCTTGTCTGTCATTCCTCTCTCCTCACACTGTTCCCTTGCTCCAGTGTGGGGTCCCTCTCACATGCTGCAGTTCTTTAGGGTAAACCTACTCCTGCATGGGTCTTTCCCACAAACTGCAGTCTTTCAGTAATTACCTGAGCACGGGCTCCCTACAAGCACAGTTCCTTCAGCAAATACCCACCTGCTCCACTGTGGTCTTCTTAAGGGGCTACAGGGGAATTGTGGTTTTGATATGTCTAGCATGTAGTTCATAATATTTTTAATAAACAGAAGAGAGCAAGCATTAAGCCTCTCACTGGAAATCATCCTGTCTAGCTTACTCTTACTTTAAAACAAACGCATTGTAATATTCTAGGATTAGGCTGTGCAAGTGGCTCTGATCACTTCCTTCCTGTTATTTGGAGAATATATTGCAATATTCTTCAGTAATCTAAAGACAGAAAATTGAGTGAAGCATTTAAAATTATGATAATACTAAGTAAGTACATGGCATTTCAAAGTATAACATCTAACACCAGTTGCAAAAGAGGAAAAGACCAATTATAAAACAGCACTGACTGAATGCTGATTACATTCATGTTGCTTTACTTGTTATACTGCCAGTATACTTACCATCTTGACAGTTAATGAAAAAGTACACCCATCCCTTGAATATTCAGTGCACCAAAATTTTCTCAGATCATAGCCTGATTTAGCATATCTACATCCTTTTTGTCTCATTATAAGATACATAGCACTTGAAGTACTTTAAATGTTAAAACTTAAGATTATCCACCTTCGAAGTACATGCATACTGATAGCCATTAGTATTTCTGACATCTTAGATGAAAAGCAAAACAGTAACTGCAAAACCTCTGAAATTAATGCAGAAAACTCAAAAGCATACCTCCACTCCACATCCAGGTCTTCACTCACACTGGAGTCATCCTCAAGGTTATTATTTCCATCCAACAGGAAGAATCCAGGACGCATGAAATCACTAAGTAGATCATTTTCTACATCACTACTACTTTGTAGTCCTCCTCGGTACTGTAACCAAGGACTCTCTCCTTCCTCCAAAAAAGGATCAGGGAATGCCTGTGGCCTTCAAATAAACAAATGAAAAGCTAAAAGTAAAAAGCTAGAAGACTTAATAACACATGCAAGCAACAAAAGATACACATATTACAGGGGCTAAAGATGCATATTTCCCAGACTGCAGAGTCCCAGATTAGGAATTTAGCATTTGCTGTAAAAACCAAGAAAGTCCCAGTGGTATCAGCTTGATACTCAGAATCTAGTATACCCATGACTATATTGCAGAACTCTATGGCACAAAGCCAGCAGTACAGTAAGCGGCTTGCTTTGCATTTTCCCTACAGGCAGTATCCCTGCCAGGGCTAGTAAATTTGGTACTAAAGATTCTTATTAATCCACAGTTTCCTAAAGCCACTAAAATGAAAAGCTCTCTTGACAGCCTGGAACAGCCTTCATGGGGAAGATTGGCCTGAATGCAAAGAGACACTATTTGCAAGAGAAGCTATTTGTACAAGGAGAAAGACTGTTCTGCCTGGATTTTCCAGAGAAGCACAAGTCACCTGGATGTTTACAGCCAAAAAGCTGTGAGTCCCACTTTCCTTAAAGGGCAAATAAACATGAATCATGTTAGAAATGGGTACATTTGCAGGCTGTTCATATCAAAGAAAGCTAAGAGTACACAGGTCCATTGTTGTTGTTCTGAAACAGACAGGTTTTTGTAATGTTGTCATAAAGCCACAATAATTCCCCAAGGCTCAAGAGACAACGACACTGAAAAAAAAACAGTAACAGTGATTTGGATGCCTGGTAATAGGTACTGTCTACCTAAGAGTGGAAGAAGCTGAACGGACAATTAAGCATGGCTTGTTGCTTTATCAAGACCCAAACTAAGAATTTAAGGTCAAGATTAGATGCTTAGGAAAAGAAAACTTTCCTTGGCTATTTGTAGCTAAAAATTTTGATTTGCAATAAAGGCATATGTATTTTATAAAGTAAAGTACTTAAAAACTGAAAAATATGCAAGTTCTCAGCAAACAAGTAGTTCAAGTTTTCTATAATCACTGATAGGGCTGCAGAAACAAAGAGCAGCTGTAGAACATGAGAAGCAATGACACAGAAATAAACAACTGCTTCGCCAGGAGTACTAAGTAGTATCCAAAGATGTGCATGTAATGTGTATTTTTACAATTAACTTGCCTAATCTGGCTTTATGAAGTTGGTATATTCAGCCTATTATCCCTACTGACTCTAAGTGTCAATGCCGTCTCACTATTTCTGTATCATTCATAAAATAGATTTGTTTGCATGACATGCCATTTTTTCCCTGATTTTAAATACGTACAACTCAGATTATTTTGATGTAGGCAAATGATTACTGCTGATCTAGTAACTACTTTTAAAATTGATGTTATCCTCTGTAGTGTCATGTGGATATTGTGTTACTGCTTGATGTCAGAACTTATAGGAAGTTAGATAACAAAATAAAACCATACCCTCCTTGGAAGACGTTTGTGTTCTCTTCTACACCACTGCTGCTGCTCTGCACTTCAGGCTCACGTTCCTCCTTGCCTGGGACAGTTGCCCAGCTCTCACCACTTGAGGACTGGCCTTTTTCTGTAGCAGTAAAATAGGTAGACACAGTTGTAGACCGTTCCCCATCACTCCGTTCTGAGCTGCGATTTAAACAAAGCAATAGGTGTGAATTTAAACACTGCTTTAGGCAAAAGAAAACAAACATTCTGATTTCCTACTTCTCTATGAACACTGCTCTCAATAAAGATAATCTTCTAGAAGAAATTAATTATTTCCTATGTATAGATGTATTAAAAGGCAAGTATACATAAAGAGAGCTGTTTAAAAAAATCAGTTCCTACAAGAATTCTGCCTTTGGAAAAGTGTTTTGTTCTTCCCCCTCCACATTTTCAGAGTACATGAAACAACTCAGGAATATAAATCTAGACCCACTATACACATCCTTTTCCAAAAACACAAAGAGGAGACAGCAGCAGTGACACAGAACACCAATGATTACTTGGAGAGCAAGCAATGTCAGCCTTACCTCTCAGCCAAACAAAACTTAGGACAACAGTAAAACAAAATTTAAAACAAACATAAAAGCTCTCATAACCTCTAAGTCATATACAATGGTCACTTTTTCGTAATCATACAAAGATACAATAGATGACTGAGTGCAAATTACATAATTCACTAGCCCTAACAGATGAATGGCAGGGAGTTTCTCAAAGACAAATTTTGCTCAGCCACCACATAGGAAAAGGCAGTAAATACTAAATTGCAGGCAGCATAAAAAAAAAATAGTGGTTAGCAGAATCTCAAGGAGGACAAACTTATCTACTTTTGGTAATGCCACTTAGAAGATTCATTCAATACTAACAGTGACAGCTGGCACCTACCAAAATACAAAGTATAGTCAACTAGCTATGTCACTTCAAAAAAAGTTATAGAAAACTAATATGTGAACAGGAATAAATAAATAAAATAAAAGCACATCTTACACAACAATCTACAACACCTGCAGTTCAGTTTTCAATCTGCTAAACCCAGTATCAATGCTATCTTCCCATCTACAAACTCACTTTAGAGAAACCCTCCTTGTATCTGTAAGTACATGCCAACACAACTTGCTATTTAATGAATTACAAGTACTTTTGAAAAAACTGCATATTATACACTGCAAGTTTTAGAAGAATAATGAAGATCAAGACAGATTATATAGAAGCATTTTAATCTGAAGCAGGAATATATTTTATCACAATTTTGACAACTAGGGAAAATAATGGAAATTAGAATATTCATTAACTTTGGGTTATTTTAAAGGATTACTTTATAATAGAAAACATCTGTTAATAAATGCTGATGTGCCATCTAATGCATCTTGTATTTCACCAACTTGAATACTGTGTACAGTTATGGGTCTCTCACTACAAGAAAGACATTGAGGTACTTGAGCATGTCGAAAGAACAAAGCTGGTGAAGGGTCTAAAGAACAAATCTTAGGAGCAGCTGAGGGAATGGGGCATGTTCAGACTGGAGAAAAGGAGGCTGAGGGGAGACCTTATGGTTCTCTACAACTACATGAAAGGAAGCTGTATTGAGGTGGGTGTCAAATCTCCCAAATAACAAGCAATAAGATGAGAAGCAATGGCCTTCAAGTTGCTCCAGGGGAGGCTTAGATTAGCTATTAGGAAAAACTCCCTCACCAAAAGTGTTTTCAAGCACTGGAACAAGGGACACAGTTGAGTCACCAGCCCTGCAGGTATGTATAGATGTGGCACTTAGGGACATGGTTTAGTGGTGGACTTGGCAGTGTGATGTTTATGGTTGGACTTGATTTTAAAGATCTTTTCCAACCTAAATGATTCTATGATTCTAACAAACTGAATACTAACATTTTACAACCTTTTGTTTTGTTTGTTTGGGTTTTAGGGTTGGTAGCCCAAATACTCAAACTTCTTAGTTTTCTGTGTTTTACAATCCAGAAATTTTAAACAACATTTCACATAAAATTCCTATGTTGTTAGTCAAGCTTATCCTTTTAAAAATTTATACAGAAACACTAATTCAAACCAGAAAAGAGGCTATGCCTAAAGTCATTAATATTGAAAAAGGAAGAACATTGAATGTGTGCATTACAAATTCTGCAGAGATGCAGAAAGTCACTTAATGGTTAAAGTTACAGACTTGTCACGTGCCAAAAGCATAACACATTAACTTGTTCAGCCTGTAGCTTGACACATATGTCAATTTTGCTTTTTATGCAGCTATACATGTATAAACATGTAACATGGTTTAATCCTTTAAACATAAAAATTTGCCTTTTGAGAGTGGAAAAACATACTATTCCTTTGTACAGAGTAAACACTGACAACTCACTTCATAAGGATAAGGTTTTTGAGGGTTTAGAACACAAATTATGGAGGGTTTTTTAAAGAACACATATGCTTCCTGTTTACTGGCTCAGTTATTGCCACCATGACTAGTGACTTTCATATATGCAATCTGTATTTCTTTTTGTCATGCTACAACTCATCATTCAGCATCATGGAAGACAATGCTATAATTGTAAAATACAGTCCATTTGCTCTACTGCATTTTAGTCTTTTAGTGGCAGCATTTTAGAAGGGGAAAAAAAAGGATTATGCAGTATTTTTTTTTTAATTAAACCTTACAAGCAAAAAGAGGATCCTTCTTTTGCAAGTCTACCTATATCTTTAATAAGAAAAAAATAAGTCTACTACTCCATTTACACCTTAAGGATTTTGTTCTCTTGTAATTTGGACTCTGAAATATTTTAAGGACAAGAGTTTACGCAGATTAATTTTCATGCTGCTCTCCCTACAAAAGCAGCGGAGACACAATCTATTCAGCAGGTTAGTTTATAAAGCCTAATGACAAGCACACAGAAAAAAAAGCCACATCAATATCGAGAAGACATGTCTTGTAAAGAATGCAGTGGGAACAGAAACAGCAAGAGGAAAGCAAACTAGAAGAAAAAAAATGGGGGTGGGGTGGGAATCAAACAAAAACCATCATAAAGACTACTGCATTTATGGTAAATGGACAGAAGGTTAGAATTATTTTTTTACCCCCAAATAGCTCAGCTACATAACTCCAATTCACAGGGAAAAGTTCTTAACCAGCATTATATGAGTAAAAGTTAATCAACACAAAGTTTATCCAAATTATCTTTTGAGTGGAAAGCCCAAAACAAGAAGAGCCTAAATACTGCTTCTGGTGTCCAGGTTGGAGCCATTTGTAGATCTGTATTCATTAAATTACTTTAGAAACACCTACTAGTGTAAACAACTTAAAAGAAGGGATTATAGGCAATCCTATCAAGTTATTTTTCAGATATGATAAGGAAGACTAGTAGATTCTTCTTCCAGAAGGCTGGAGACAATAATATACATAGGCTATCATACAGAACAGCATTGAGATTTGATGGCAAAACCCCCCAAATTCTGAAAATAACAAGTCTTGAAGGGGACTTTCAAAGACCCATAATTTGCCAAAACCCATGCTGAACAAGTTTTTCCCTCTCTACCTTCCATCCACCCCATAAAAATAAACAAGTAATCTTCCTTAGTGATAATATACATTGACCCTAAACATAAGGAAAGGCTTTTACATTATCAGAAGAATATACATTACCATTTATTTATATGGCCTGAGGAAGGGTGAAGGAGAACTGAAAGAAAAAGCTGGTACCTTTTGAGCTGATTTGAGCATTCTGAAATTGCTTGAGTTTATCCCATTTGCTAACAAATTATTCAGATTTGACATTATTCACACAAAGGATGCAATGCTAATACAGTTATAAAAATGAAATTTTACCTGTATTCATCTCTGTGGGACACTGATAAGCGTCTGCTGCGGTCTTCAATCTCATTCCAAAAGTCTAGAACACTTTTCTGTTCTTGAGCTGCTGCATTTTTCCTTAGGTCTATTTCTGTGTCTTCTCGATCACCTTCACAATCTCTTGAGTCAAAGAAGATACTAGAACTCATCTCTTCTTTGCTGCCACACTCACCACAACTTTGCTGGACTTCAGCAAATTCATTTTCTTCATCACCACTAGGGAGAAGCTTCACCCTCTCCAACTGTTTTACAGTATTTTGTTTCCTTATTTTAGGTCTCACCACACACTCAGGCGAACTGCTTTCATCAATCTTTCCATCACTGACACTGAGTTCATTAGCAATTGCTATAGGGGTTCTGAAGCCAGCATCCACTATACTTTGTATCTGCTGTATTTCACAATTGACATCACTTGTGTTACTTTTTGGTATAGTTTGATCTTCAGCATACAATTTAAATGTTCTGTTGTTTGAACATGCCAAGTCTGAATATGTCATTAAGGGCACTGGTCCTGCTGCTTCGCAACATTCTCCAGAAATACTGTGGCTGAGAGCAGACAATTGGGACTCTAAGTCAGAAAAAGGCATGGAGTCTTTTACTAACTCAGGAAGCATGTTATCTAGTGTTCCCGGAAATACACCTGCTTTTTCTCTTGCCAAAGAAAAACCGTCTTGAGCATCATCTTCCTCTCCATCACTGCTATCTGGCTTATGAGAGTCAATGTTTACAAACGCTATTCCATTCTGATCATTCAAATCATTATGCTCTCCAGATGCATATTCTGCAAGGTCCTCAGATTTTCCGTAAGTATTCACAGAGTTCCTTGAGATCTGTCTGCCTTCCAGACCATAAGAGAATAGAGAAAATGATGATGTGTTCCCTTCAACAGTTTGGGTTGATACACTTCGGCAAATGGGCTCTCCAGTTCCAGTATTTTCTGACAAAGGTTCATCTAGCAAACCAGGAGAAACAGGAATAATCAAAAACAATCAAAATATCCTCATCTACAACAACCGCTCATGAAAATGAAAGGATAGTTCACTATGACTGCAGTGCATTTTGATAAACATTTACTAAAGCAATTCTTCACTGATATATTTATGTTCTCATTTAAATAAATTAAGCATATAAAAATAGACTTGAATGAGCCAATTTCAGCTCAGACTGATAGAAAAAAAACAAGTATTAAAGGAACACATTCATAAGCAGCATTTTGACATTGTTTATATAAAAGGGAATTTTAAGATGAGAACAGAAGTCTGGAAAAACACTAGAAGATTAAAAAAGCAACATTGTTTGCCATAAGTTAAAAATTGGACTATTTATTAACTGGCTAAATTGTGCCTCCTGCCACAATCAGATAAAGCCATTTATCACTACTATAAATTATATATTAATAGCACTATATTTTGAACATGCAGCTGTGATAGCAACACCCCACAGGAAGAAAATAGCAGGGATGAATATGGAATTACAGTTAGTAGTTACCATAATTGCAAATTCAGTTTGGTTATATTACTCTTGAACACCTCTTTCACACCTCTTGCATAAAGGGACAAAAAATATCAAACCCAGCAGCAAGAGTTAAAGAATGTAAAAACATGTATACAGCTTTGACTACAAAATTAATGTTTAGTTCAAGTAATTTGTAAATTTCTCACCAAGACAATACTCCAAACTAATTTTGAACATACAATGGCTTGCATAACTTGAGAGTACTTAAACTTAAAATTTTTCTGTTGATATGAAGAGATTTGGAAACCTAACTATAAAACCAAAAAAACCCTATACATGGTTAATTGAAGGGATTCCCTAGAATGTTATTTTTTTAAACAGGTAGAGGCAATAAACCATGTAAAATGAGTGTTCCATGATAAAAAAATCATCTAAATAGCTAACCCATGCTAACATGTAAGTGAATTCATGGCACTGAACTGAGAGCTGTGCCACTCAGCACCAGAAGTCTGACTTGCAGAAAGCAATACTGAAACATTGCATTTAATCCATTTGAAATCTTGAAGCTCCTTCACAAAATCACTAACAGCTGGGGTTAGCAGGCAGGCCTCTCTGGAGATCATCTTGGGTGCACTCCCCCAGCTAAACACCCCCAGTTCCCTCAGCTGCTCTTCATAAAACCTTTCCTCCAGACCCTTCACCAGCTTCATTGTCCTTCTTTGGACATGCTCCAGTACCTCAACATCTGTCTTTTCATGAGGGGTCTAAAATACTGAACACAGTAATTGAGGTGCAGCCTCACCAGTGCCAAGTACAGGGGGACAATCACCTCCCTCTCCCTGCTGGCCATGCTATTTCTGATACAAGCCAGAGTGCCATCTGCTTTCTTGACCACCTGGGCACACTGCTGGCTCATGTTCAGATGGCTGTCAATGAATACCCCCAGTCCTTTTCCACCCAGCAGCTTTCCAGCCACTCTTCCCCAGGCTTGTAGCTTTGCACAGGGCTGCTGCGCCAGGTGCAGGACCTGACGCTTTGAAAGATTTGAGGCTACATCAAACTTATTTTAGCAGAGAACCTCATACACTCAAGGAGATGGGACTATGCTTCTAATTCAACAAGCCATTTTGTATTTGTCCATGAAATTATTAGTCAGATGCTAAAGTCACAAAAGACATTTTAGGAAATACTAACATCCAATATTCATTAACCAAGAAAGGAAAGTGATCTGACTGGTATAAACCAATAAAGAATCTTGAATAGTGTTTTACAGGCTTAAGCTAATTCCCACTACAACTACACTATGGTTGACAGAAACCACCTGGTCCATGATATATTCTAAACAGAAGGTTAGAATAGGTATTCTCTTCCAAATGTGATTTGTAATTTGATTTGACAACAAAATAATTTGCATTATACAATGTTATTGTTATCTAGTTGGTTAGAATGCACTAACTCATTCAGAAATGCCCTTCTTCAGACAAAATTAATCAGCCTGAGATAGCATGAATGCAAAACAAAGTAGAGACTAAGTTTCATTCTATAAAGCCATATGAATTGTACTTTACACATTAAGTGGCTACACTTTTCCCTTCACATTACTCTGTGCTTTCTTCCTCCACCCCACAGCATCCCTGTTTGCAATTAAATGGCACATACACAAAGATATGAACATACATAAAAAAATACCACTCTGAACATCCTCCAATTCTAACTGTTCACAGTCTCCATAGTATTGATGCTCACCTCTGTCTTGGCTATTCAGATATGGTCTAAAACCAACACAAGCATGTCTTCTTCCATATCTTCCACCTGTAATAGTCTGATATCCTCCCACTGGTCTGGGCCAGGCAGGTTTGCCAGCTTCTTGACTCATTGCTACAAGAGATAATGGAGTAAAGAAAAAGACAGAGAGACTTGTTAGACAACAATGCTTTATAATCACTCTCTTCTCAAATACTTTGATATATTTTTTTTAGTAAAGAATTTTCCATTTCTCTAAAGTCTTGAGCTTCACTAACAATACAATTATTAAGAATCTGAAATGCTCTAAGCACAGGTTATGAAAACATGTAACAGTTTTCATCATCACTAAATAATACTGACAAAACACTGATCTTGCCCCCATCTTAACATTTGTAGTAAAAAACAGAGACCTTTTAAAAAATAAAAAAAACCCAAAGTCACATGACATCTGGACTTAATGTGATACACTTCCGCATATAGCTCTGACAGCACTTATGTCACCTTGTAAAAAACATTTGCAAGCACTAGAGTGGAAAAGCCTTCAGGTAATGCAGCACTATTCAGCCAGCCCTAGCTAGCTTGTCCCTGTGACAAGAAAAGTAGTTAATTAAAATCACACCTTCTAAAACAAAAGTCCCAAGTCCCAGGGAGAAGGCTTTTTCTTTACAGTAGGTAGTATGTTCAGGCATGGCCATACGAGGCAATTGCCCACATATGGCTCCTATCATTACAGCAGTATATACTAATGGATCTTAATGCTTTTACCAGGAAAACAGGGCGCTAAGTAGTACAAGGAAACTTGAAAACCCGTGGTTTTTAACAGAGAAAAACATATTTTAATATAGAGAAAATCAGATATTTTAAAACAGTAACAGTATCAGGTATTAATAATTTAACAGAAGGGTTCATGTCCAAAGGCTGTTGCCTGCACAAGTGCAGTCAGAAGTTCAGCATTTCAGATGTTCAGTGGTTTTTTCATGTCCCTCTAAATCACTTTTAATCTTCACTAGTTACAGAATTAACAAAGTAGCTTTCCTGGTCTTGAAACTCACCAAGCTAAAAAGAAGACATTAAAGTCCCAGAAGATAGTTTGCAACCATTAACACAGTTTTCTGAACTTCAGAAAAATAAGAAAGCTTTTTTTTTTTTCTGGCTACACACCCGATCTCATCACTACCCATAAAAAAAGAGTATCTATATGCAAAGACACTGTTTATTAACAGTTATTTTATGCAGCTTCAAGCAGAATAGCCATTAGTAAGGCTAGTATTTGCAGTATGTAGACTGCCTAAAAGATACAACTGCACACATGTCCCAACTATCGAAGAGTCCAAGCAGATATTTTTTTCTTTGTTTTTTGAACCTAGCATCACTGTTGGAGCTGCCATTTTGCTATGACTGACATACAGGGAACTAACTCTGTTGCTGCATGCCTAACACAAATAATGAAAAATAAAATGCAAGGAAAAAACTGAATATTTTTCTTGGGGCTGCACTCTAAAATCACATGACCCCTTGAAAGCTTTAATAAAGAAGCAAACAGAAGAAAGATACAGATTCTAGTTAGAGCTAGTCTTAAAGAAGTTCAGACACATACAAGAATTTGGTCTACAACTATCAGCATAGCAACCCTGAAAACATTTCTTAGCAATCTGCATATCTGTTAAAAAACCCAAGTGCACTTCTAGGTAAAACAAAGAAAGACAGAATGAGTAGTATAATGATGGTGGAAGTTTCAGGTGCTTAGAAAAGAATGCAAGTTCCAGGATAAGAAAAACAATCACTTTCTCTTTTAGCCCAACAGGGAAAAAAAATAAGGTTATAGTAAACCAAACATGATTACACTCACCATAAAGTACCTGCCAGAATCCTAAAATATTACTGTTTCACTCCCAGATGAATTGACAGCGATAGTGAAGATACTTGCCATGCTTAAACTTGAGAGGCAAATATTTACAATTCAATTGCTTAAAATTGCAACATATTTAAGAAAATAAAACATGGAGTCTTTTATCTAGTGCCATCAGTTTCATTTTTTGTTATTTTTAGCCAGTTATAAAAAACATTTGCTACAAAAAGATTGTGCATTTTATCACATTATTCCTACCACATTTTATCTATGGCTCTAAAAATGTCACTTAGAAGATGTAATCCTTACCACATCTTCTTTCCACTCTTCTTCCCACACATGAAATTTTTCCAACCACAGACCAGTTCCATGAACATTGCAGAGTTTAAACATGTCCATAACTAGCTCCAATATGGTGATACTGTTTATTTCTGCAAATCTGGGATACAACTTTTTTGAATCTTTGCAGATAAAAAAAAGCATGTATCAGAGGCTTTTTCCCTCGTTTATCTATGAATCTTTATGTAGTTTGATTACATATAATCTTCCTTGAAAATATTTTCATATATACTGCCCATCATACATATTCATATAACCTGCCCATCTCACATTAAACAACAGAATCTAAGATGGTCAATTTGTTATAACTGTATATATAGTTATAACTGTTATAACTATACTACTCCTGCAATCCTTAGAAAGGTGAAAAATCTCCACCATCTTTGACAAAAAAGTCTGCAATGCAAGAAAAAGGGGACTGACAATTTTCTTAATTAGTCAGCCAGTTAATACCCTTACATCAACCAGCAATTTGTCTTTATTCAAGCAAGCTCTGACATTTCTTAAATTCTTAAATTATAAAATTGCTGGTTAGCAGATTGCCAAAGGGAGCTGACAATAAGCAGCCACATCCAAATTTGCAGAGCAGAAACCAACAGTTAGGTTAGTAAATCAGCAGAGCAACAAAGAAATGTGCCCTAAAACTTGGTAACACAAGCAGTTGAAACAAAAAAAAAGTAAAAATACAACATAACTGCCTAATTCTTGATTTTAGTTTGTTCTCTAAAACATCAGTATTGTTCAAAACCAGGTGTCTACACAAGAGTCAAACTTGTGAATGCAAATGTTCTTTTTTAAATTCAAGTCCACAGCATGTAAAAATCTTTAAAGCTAGGTGTAATGCACTACATGTTTTGTTTCAAATAATTCTCTCACATATAGCATATCTCATCTTGTATTCAACTGTTCTTAAAAGATACATCCTACAATTACTATTCTGCCCTGGGAAAGATTTATTGTGAAAGATTTATATAGTGAAAGCTTTCACTGTTTACTGAAAGTCTGGATGTCACATTTGGTCTACTGGAGAAGTTAACTTTTAAATACCTCAATATGAGAGAATCCAGAGATCAATTTACAAGAAATTCTTCAGGCAATCAAGTTCCTGAGACACATAATATCCTCTCTCAGGTCATTCTTCTAGGCTAACCCAACCTTAAAAGTGGGTATCACTCTATCTCTTTTCAGAAGCTCAGTTTAGCAGTCCTGTTCAAAACACACCCAATACCTGCTGACAACACAGTTCTGCTAAAGTGACCAGTCTTAGAGATGCCACACATCAATGACTAAATAACCAAGGTAGGGTAAACAGGCTAGTTATTCTCAGGCTAAGGATGTTATACACACACCTCCATCCTTTTGAAAGGGTACTTAGAGTCACCTGAATTCCTCAAAGGATCATTAGCAGCTGTCATAAAGCAGAAGAACATTTTAGATTAACAGAGCAGGATCCAAAAAGCCCTAAACATCTCCTAAAACGCACAGTGCATAAACAGGTAGGACTAGCCTTTCCCAGGCACTGCCTTAAGCACTGACACAGCTGCATGCTGATTCTTTACTTCTACAAATACTGCACTAAGGACTCCACTCCCTACAGCCAGCAAACTACAGGATGTAATACAGAAAGCCTCTGAATCTGGACCCAATCCATCTGACTTGCATAACCAATGTATCCTCTCCAATAAAAAACAGTTTTTCCATAAGTAACACAATGTTCAAGGCTAACTGTAGATGCATGCATACCTAGGACTGTAACTTGAGCGTTCAGAAATTATCCATCCCCTTGACCATAATGCTACATGTAAGTATCAAACCATTCTAATTTACAGAGCCAAATTTAGGACCATTGGATTTTCCTACTCTATTGCATGCCAAGTCCTCTGACAGGATCCCAGTCCTCATCCACTGAAACCCAGACACCTCCCTTTACTCTCCTCTCCACCACCTTTTGTTCTCCCCTGTCCTTTTAACACTCTTGCATCCTGCGCACTAGAAAAAAGGAGAAGCAGTTTTCTGTGATCAAAGACTGCATGACCTAGATCTACAACACTACTCCAAAAAATGACCACCACCCATGTAGACAGAAGACACCAATTGCAGCATACACTCGACATGAACATGGCAATGTCTGCTACCACAGAGGCAGGCAGGGAGGTCATACTCGTGACTCTGTTACCTACCTGGCCAGCACCACTTTGTCGAAGCAGAGTCTAGTTCACAGAAGCAATGGTAAAAAATTACAAAAATTAAAGAAATCAGTTTATCTAAAGCAGTTCTGAACATCTGAACAAAATCTTGACTTCCTTCCAAGAGCTGAAATACAGAAAACCTTCCCTTAAATACCTAGCAATTTTTGTAATTAAGGAGAAAGCAACTGAGTTTCATAACCTCCACTGAAAAAAATACTATAAACCTAGAAACTTCACAAGGACATTTTCAATTAAGTATTCCATCAAATTTACCTGGATCTTGTTTTCACCCTATAATGTCCAATTTTATTTTGTTAGCATCATTCATTCACACATAGTCACCTCCTAGGTCTATTACATACCTCAGAGGGGGAAAACAAAATTGTGGCATGGGGAGAAAGGGAGGAAGTCAGGTAGCAGGGGTAAATCAGGGACGGGAGGAGCAGTCCTAGGTGTTTTTCATCCAGAAGAGGGGAAGGGGCAGGGGGTGTCAGTTTTCTGCTGCAGAAGGTATTTCACTAGCTTTTTTGCTTTTTTCTTTTTTTAAGACATATAAAGTTAGCTTCAAACACCTCTAAGTAGTGTCTTTTTAAATCTTTCAATAAGTCCCGACTTCTTCTACTCTCAGATTTTTCCCAGCATTCCAAAAAAACTTGTATGCATATTCTGGTCTCAATCTCACCAACACCTGACAGAGAAGGAAAAACAAATCTGCTTTATCATACTCAGCTTTTCTTTTTTCTTTTAAATCTATTAGTTACAGAAACTATTCCCTTCAAGGCAAGAACAAGATTTCACATTCAAGGCTTGAAAAGGGAATGCATGTAATACTAACAGAATTACTGTTTTCTAGGTTACTATCTTAAAAAAAAATAAAATCTACATTTACTCACACAAGTATATGAATGCATTTGGCTGTCAAATGGGTGAAATTTAAAACCAACTCACATTTTTTACATCCTTTCCCTTACCTAATTCTGAATCATAATGAAAGCATATTCCTGATCAACTCAGAAAAAAAGATGCAGGTTAAAATATTCACATTTTCTTTTAAACTGTATTAGCCAATGTTCTTTATCTGTAACCAATATTCTACATCTCTTTTGTTCCTGCAGGTACTGAAAGATTCCTAGAGCAGATGAATTTAAAAGAAATTTGAATTAGAATAAAGAATTTTCAGTTTTCTAAGCACCACTGCTCAGGATGGTGGAGAGGTTACTCCATTTCAGTCAACAGAAGAAAGGCCAAAAGGCAGAGGGATATTTCAAGAATTGATAACTGTCACAATTTCCCTCTTTTGCCACTATGAGCAGATTAACACTGAAATTCTTTAAATGTTTAGTTATGCTCACAAGCTTCAAACTATATACACTCACACATTACCACTCAAAACAATGAATATTCAGTCAGAATTTACCTTCACTGTCCGGGATTTATCTAAACCTCAGAAAACCAAATGTCATTGTCTAGGCCAGGTAGGCAGCTAAGCACCACACAGCTGCTCACTCACACCTCCACCCAGTGGGATAGGGAAGAGAGTCAAAAGGGTAAAAGTGAGAAAACTCACAGGCTATGATCAAGAGTTTAATAATTTTTTTAAAAAGAAAAAAAGAATAAAGAGGAAAAGAAGCAAAAGCAAGGAAAAAGTGATGAACCCCCCCCCAATTGCTCACCAGCAGCACAAGGATGCCACAATTCTAAAGTAACAGCAGTCTGGCCAACCTCCTTTCCCCCAACCAGTTTTATTGCTGAGCCTGATACCATAAGGTACGGGATCTCTCTTTGGTCAGTTGGTGTCAGCTCTCCTGTCTGTGTCCCCTCCCAACTTCTTGTGCACCCCCAGCCTACTCACTGGTGGGGTGGTGTGAGAAGCAGAAAAGGCCTTGGCTCTGTGTAAACACTGCTCAGCAAGAATTAAAACATCCCTGCGTTATAAGCACTGTTTTCAGCAAAAAATCCAAAACAGAGATCCATGCAAGCTCCCATGAAGAAATTTAACTCTTCCTTCTTCACAGTCTTTGTTTTAGCAGTGACTTCAAGCTGCTCACTAGGGTATTTGAGAACACAGTAGCGATTACTTCCATAAGCAGTATCAGCTCAGCTACATGTACACTGAAAAATGGAATATGCTTCAGGGATTTATTTTTAAGGCATAAATTACTATCTTTTCATCAACTTTCCGGGTCATTTCGCACTCTCGTTTGAGCTACAGATTTCACTAAGTCAATGCTTTTACTTAGTACAGTTCCTTCTCTTTGCCTAAGGCTGAAAGTAGCCTGTAGTCCAAGTTCAGTAAATTGAAAGGTTGGTCTACCAATGAATTCATTTACATGAAAATAAAAACTTTTTTTTCCTCTCAGATTATAGAAACTGATTACTTTGTTAATGACTGGAACAGCAGCTGGCTGCACCTTCAAACAGACTGACCAGTTTAGGTCTGTGGAATCTCAAGAGTGCAAAGCATCCTTTAGGCAAACATTAATCAGGTGTTTT